CCTTCTGCTGGTACCTGCATGCATGTGATTCACATTCATACACTCAGGCACACACACATACACATAAAATAATTAACAGGGACTGGAAAGATGGCTCAGTGGTTAAGAGTGCTTGCTGCTCTTCCAAATGACCTGAGTTCAGTTCTCAGAACCCATGTCAGGTGGCTCACAACTGCCTCTAACTCCAGGGAATCTGACTCTATTCTAGATTATTTGGGCACACCGAGAGAGAGAGAGAGAGAGAGAGAGAGAGAGAGAGAGAGAGAGATAACCAAACACAAACATGGTAACTTAAGCTCTCAAAGGGTCTATTACTTTGTATGAATTTAGATTTCAAGTTAAAAACTCAAGTCTAAGTTAATTATGACTAAGTTTTGTTCCAAGGCTGGCCTTTGACTCTACTGGGCCAGACTGTCTTAAACATGACAAAGACTGACAAGATACAAGTCATGTTTAGCAAGGTTAAATGTAGAGTCTCTGCTCACTTTGGATGAACTGTTCTTAGGCTTTACATCCAAGACAGTACCTTCCCCTGACATGGGTTACAGTCTTGGCTGTCACAGTGCCTAATGTCCAAGCGACCCTGCCCCATCTCAAGCCAGAGGTTAAGCCCGTGTCATAATTGCTCTGCAATTCTTCCCACACGGAAGGAGAGGGCTCACCAGTGACCATGTTAGTCTGTTACAGAAGTTTCCAGCTCCCCCTTGGTGGCTCCTCATTTAATTGTGGCCTGCTTCTTATTGAAAATGTCCTTGGCTTCTGGACTGTTTCCCAGGCCTTCCTGTGAGCAGAGCCAACAGGTTATTAAAAGTCCTCTGGATAACGCCTCTCACCCTGGGCACACCTACCTGCCCTTACTTTGCAGTGTTAGTCCCTGAGCTCTGTCATCTGTCCCTGATGGGCTGCTTCCTCCTCAAGTCAGCTGTGCATCTGGAAGACCCAGTCTACCCTGGAAAGATGCACAGCAGCAGGGACAGATGGCAGGTCCACCAGAGCCTCTGTGGGTCCTGAGTACACATCTATGGGAGCAAGGCCCACTCACCAGGCCCCAAAACAGCCCCCCTGGAGCCAAACTCTAGCAAAACTCTCTGTGCCCTCCTTCCTCATCTGCATGTGGCACTGGAGGCCAGAAACATAGGGTCTCTCGGGCACTAGTCTCTCAGGGGGCCTGGGAGTAGTGGGAAGGACACTCGACGTATCCAGGCAGAGGGGGACTGGGGAAGGCCTCCTAGGCGTGTTGGGCTGAACTTGTAGGGTAAAAAAGGAAGTGCCTTCATCCCAGGCTGGACAAGGGAAGAAGAGGGTTGAGAGGGCTGACTCCCTAAGACAGAGGCCCAGGACCCAGCCTCAGGACACTCAGGTCAAGGGCTCTGAGGGGATAACAACCAAAGAAGCTGGTGAATGCCAGAGGATAGAGGGGGACTCTCACCCTGTTTTCATTTAATTTTATCAAATTGTTTTTGTTATTAAGTGAAATTCAGTATTAAGACTATAGATAAAATGCGTACCCTTGTTATCAGGGAAATAGAACACAATGAAGATCACTTCCTGTCCACTGGGATGGCTCTTTCTGTGGACCACAGCAAGTACTGGGGAGCACATGGGGAAGCAGGAAATATTGTTCCTGGATGGAAACTGGCCAAGCGGAGGAGTGGAGACTGTCTACCAGCCCCTTAAATGGTTAACATAGAGCTCCCGAAGACCCGGTAAGTCTACACTGAGGTAATGTACATAAGAGAAGTGAAAATGTGTCCATACAAATGCGTGCATGGAAGTGCCCATACAGCTCCACTCATAGAGCCTAAAAGGAGACCCAACCCAACACTCACTAGTTATTCTGTGGATTTTTAAGATGTCTCCACAGGAAGATGACTACTCAGCCATAAAAGGGCATGAGGCACTGGAGAAAACAGACACACAAGGCCACATGTTGGGATCCATTGCACGGAGTCCTTAGGAGAGGCAAATCTACAAAGATAGAGCCAGATTAGTGGCTGCTTGGGTTGAGAGGGAATGATGGGGTGATAGCTGAAACTCAAGGTTTCTTTTTGAGGGGTATTCTGTGGTGATGGTTGTGTTTATGAATGTGCTGAAATGCATAGAAATATATATGTGAAATAGGAAAATTATATGTTGTATGAATTATACCTCTACCCCCTCCCCCTCTGCCTATATCTGGGGCTTCTTTTTACAAAACTAAACAAAGGACAGATAAATACACACACACACACACACATAGAGTGAGAGAGAGAGAGAATTGAGGGACTGAAGCTAGGGTTTCCCACATATGCTAGGTAAGCACTCTATCACTGTGCCATGGCCTAATATATAATATTTTTAAATTACTTTATCAATAATAGTATCATCTAGCTACCATTTGGTACCTTCCTTTTTTAATAGTAGTTTTTATTTATTTATTCTTGGAGAATTTCATAGATATACACAATGCATTCTCTCTCTCTTTTTTTTTTTTTTTTTTTTTGAAGCAGGGTCTCCCTGTAGCCCCAGCTGTCCTGGAACTCACTATGTAGACCAGGCTGGCCTTGAACTCACAGAAATCCACCTGCCTCTGCGTCCCAGGTGCTGGAACTATAGGCGTGTGCTGCCATGCCTGGCACAATGCATTCTTTTAAAGACAGGGTCTCACCAAGTATCGCTGGCTGGCTTGGAACTATGTAGATAAGGCTGACCTCAAACTCACAGAGATCCTCCAGTTTCTATCTCCCAAGTGCTGGGATCAAAGGTATGAACCACTATACACAGCCTTGTACAACGGATTTTGATCACATCTGCCCCGATCCCCACCTCCATCTCCTCCCAGAACTTGCCCTACACACCCTCTCCCACTTTTATGTTTAACTCACCTAGTCCAGTCAGTGCTGCCCACATGTGCATGGGTGTGGGACCATCCACTGGAATATGGTCGCACCTCCAAAGAAAAATGATTTTTCTAAACCAGCAGTTGCTGGTAGCTCCAATCTGGGGATGGAGCCTTGTGTGCCCCTTCCCCATCCATGCTTGAATGTTGACTTACTTAATCTTGACACTTTACTTTTCCCCCCTTCTTTTAGCTATTTCAATCCTTCACTATTGTGTTTCTGTGTTTGTGTTTGTTTTCTGGGACCTGAACCAGGGCCTTGAACATGCTTGGCAAACAAAGCTTGACCACTGGGCTATACGCCCAGCTCCTCTCACCTTTTTGATGAGTGTGTAGTATTTCATGGTGGAGACATTAGTCATCACAAAACCTTCCACTGGGAACAACCTTGTCTGTCAAGGTGAGACCCTGGCAGAGGCTCCTGGGGCTAAAAGCAAGCTATAGAGGTTTGGTACAGGCTACAGAATTCCTTTCCTCAGACAGAAGAGAGCCAGGGTGTAGTCTTCCAGCCCCAAGGCTAGTCCTTGCTTCTCCATGTATGCTGTTTTCTCATCTGTAAAGAAGGCGATGTGGGAAGGAAGACAGAGCTTGTTGTATTGGGAGGAGGCTGAACAGGCAAAAAGCCCATCCTTGGGCCAAGATATGCTGGAGAATCCAAGGGCTGATGTAGGAAGTGAAAGAGGATAATGTGCTCTTTAGCGGGGATTCATGGAAGGTCTCCTTTGTAAGAAGCATGTGAGCCTGCAGGAAGTGAGGAGCACACCCCAACATCTGTGTAGAAAGTATCCATTAAGCTCCCAGGGTACCCCCCCCCAAACTACAGGCTCTTCTAGTGACGGGTGCTCCAGATACTCATTTGAAAAGGACCCTTGGGCAGGCAAGATGATTCAGTGGATAAAGGCACTTGCTGCCAAGCCTGACAATTTGAGTTTGATCCCCAAGCTCCACATAGTAGAAGTAGAGAATGGACTCCCAAATTTGTCCACCTTCACAAGTATACATATATGTGCACACATAATAAATAAACAAAAAAAGAAAAGATGTTTCTAAAAGAAAGAAAGGAAAAGACCCATGAACCAGTTTCCTGCTGGTTAAAGCTGTCTAAAGCCCCAAGCAGAGCCTGGGGAGTGTAACTGTCCTGGACCAGTCAGGGCTGGTTCATGGCAGCCAGAAGGTGGTGTGGCCTCCTCTGAGTGAACGGAGGCATAGTTTGTACCTGCCCATCCCAGTGTGCAGCAACCTTGCTGGAACCCCAGCACCATCCAGAGTTGTCAGCAGCAGGCCGCCTCTGCCACAAAAACAGACCTGGAAGTGTCTAGCGGAGGAGGGGCCTTTGAGGAAATGAGTATGAGTCTTCAATGGATTCAAGTGCAGACTCCTGAGTTTCCAGTGTCACCTTGCTGGGGTCACTCTACTTTGTGGCCCTGGGATGGGTTTTTCTGATGCTGTCTTTGGAGGGGACACAGGCAGAGTATCAGTAGACTCAGAACAGCTTGGGGACAGTCAGGAAGAGACATTCTTGGGCCACCTGCAGACCTAGAGGACAGAGGGAGCAGAGGCCTAGGGAGCAGAGGACCCTGGGGAATGGTTACAAGGACTAGTGGGGGCAGTCACAGAGTGGGGGTGGGCCAGGTCACTATGGGTGGGGCAGTTAGGGCAGTATGCCAGAGGGCATCCCTTCTCATCAGAGCAACTGAGCATCAGTCCTCACTCCTTTCTCTGAGGGTTCCTTGCAAGCGCCTTAAATTTACAAAGTGCGGGCCTGATGAGATAACTCTTCAGGTAAAGGTGCCTGCTGCCAAGCCTGACCACCTGAGTTCTTTGAGATCCACAAGGAGAGGGAGGGAACCAACCAGCAAGTTGTATTTTGACTTCCGCCCACCCCCCGCGTGCAACAAATAAATATAATTTTTTTAAAAACCCTTTACAGCTTATGAAGTGCAAAGGGCGCCACCAGCGATTACGATTACCAAAGCAACGTCCTGTTTCTATTCAGAGTGGCGCGTGGGCGGGGAGCTGGGGTCGGGGGGGAGGGGTGTGAATCTAACCGGAAGACTTCAGGAAGATCTGAAAAGAACTGGGATGACGGCAGCAGCAGCCTCCAGGAGTCAGTGACATCCCCATCGCCACCCCGCACGGGCCCGGCCAATGAGAGGAGGCGAGAGGGCCTGGGGGAGCACTGCGGGAGGGCACTCGGGATGCCCCAGCCAGGGTCCGGTCCACGGGGACACGCGGCTCTAGGAGCCCCTGCTGCCCTGGGGTCGGAAGACCTCCCCTAGGGAAAGTGAGCCTGGGACTTAGTGCACAGCTGGGGTGGGGCGGGGCGGGCAGGCCTGGAGGACCTCTCCTCCCCACCAGTCTCCCGGCCTCTGGCCTAGCTGGCGCTATCAGCCCAGACAGGAATCGTGAGCCTTCCGGGTTTCCACAGAAAACACCCTTGGGGTAAGCAGTTCTCGAATTCCAGGAATTTACTAGAGCCTTGGGAAGCTGTGCTGGGGCTTCCTGGCCTGGTTCATCTGCCCTCCCCCTCTCCCTTCTCCTTACCTCTTGGGTCTGACTGCTCCTGGGAGCCCCTGACAGCCTGGACAGGGCAGTACCCTACTGCCCTCCAAGACTGGCACAACTTCTGTCTCTAAAGCCCCCTGAACCACCACCCTCAGCTCTCTCAGTCCTATACAAACTCCCCCTTTCACCCCCACAGCCCCTAAGACCCTACCTTACAGCCCCACCCCCCCCTTAACTGCCCCACAGCCTCTCACCCAGGTATATCCCCTCAGCTTCCCATAATCTGCTCAGTCTTCCTCAGCCACCCACTGGAGGTCTCTGCCACTGAGAAAGATGAGGCCTTTCCTGTATCAGGAGCCCAGTAAGGGTTGAGTGGGGGCAAGGGGCCATTCAGAGGGGACCAGGGAACTTCCTGGAGACAGAGATGCCAGGAAAGGCTAGGGACAGGACATGACAGACTGACAAGCAACATGTGCTCTAGGTTTCAGAGGACAGATAAGTGAGATTTGAGTGAAGACGGTTGTTCAGTAGACTAGGAGAGAAGGGAAAGTAAACACAAGGCTAATCCTGAGATGAGAAACATGGAAAATCAATCCAGTAAGTCCACCTTCCCTGATGAATTTCTAAGAGGAAAGATCATGAAGGGAGGAAATTAGCAATATATTGTTAGGAGGAAACACTTGGGATCGAAGAGACAGTCTGCAGATGAACAGGGGAACCTGGAATGTAAGAAGGATTTGGGGCTAGAGAGGTAGTTCAGTTAAGGGCACTAGCTGCTCTTGCAGAGGACCCAAGTTCAGTTCTGACCACCTACATGGTGGCTAACAACCACCTGTAACTCCAGTTCCAGGATATCTGATGCCCTCTTCTGGCGTCTGTGGGCATTGACACACATGATACCCTTACATGCAGGCAAAACACTCATACACATAAAATGAAAATAAATAAAAATTCTTTTAAAAATAATTTGTATGAAAGTACAGAGCAATAGGGAGGAAAACTGCTCGACAGATTTCAGAGATGGTAAAAGGACATGTTTGCTGCATGACTGAGACCTCCAGGGTGTCAGACTTCCCATCAGCAGCAATAGATGAACGATAATCAGGAAGAGGCCTTTTACTTAACTGTCTATATTGAATCAAATTATGTCAAGAATGGAGCAGAATAAAGATAATTTCAGACTTTTACAGTCTCAAAGAAAAATAATAAATAAATCCCACCTCCTATACATCTTTTCTGAAGTGTTTACTTAAGATTGTATTCCAGCAAAGTGAGAAAGAAAATTAAGAAAGAGAAAGCTGGGCAGGGCATGGTGGCGCACACCTTTAGTCCCAGCACTTGGGAGGCAGAGGCAGGCAGATCTCTGTGAGTTTGAGGCCAGCCTGGTCTCCATAGTGAGTTCAAGGCCAGCTGGTGCTACAAGGGGACCTTGTCTCAAAAAAAAAAAAAAAAAAAAAAAAAAAAAAAAAAAACGGAGAAAGAGAAGGAAAGAAAGAAAGAAAAAGAAAGAAAGAAAGAGAAAGAAGAAAGAAAGAGTACACAAAGTTGTCAGAAAAAAAATAATGGGAGATATGGCAGTGTTGGAGAAGAGGGTGAGATTCCTGAGATTTGGACTCCTGAGTGACACACCTGAGGGTCCCAGGGGTTGTGTGCAGGCCTAGCAGGAAGCAGCCAGATTGGGGTAGGAGAGGACAGGGGAGGAGGTGTGGGAGCAAATAAGGTGGTAACATTGAGGTATTGGTACAGAGGCACAGTATTACTCTGCTAACAAAAAGGAAGGAAGTGGGGGCAATTAAAAGCTATAGAGAACAATGTATATAGCAAAGTCAAGCTTCAACTGCAAAGAAAAGTAAAATGTATTGACTTTCAGCTACTATGATTGAAAATGGATCCACCTCATCTCCTTAGTTAAGATTTTTTTTTTTTTTTTTTTTGTCTTTTTGAAGCAGGGTCTCCCTGTAGCCCCAGCTGTCCTGGAACTTACTATGTACACCAGGCTGGCCTTGAACTCACAGAGATCCACCTACCTCTGCTTCCCAAGTGCTGGGACTACGTGCTACCACACCCAGCTGGTTAAGATTTTTATAGTAATGTGTATGTGTATGCCATGTGTGCAGGTGTCCACAGAGGCCAGAAGAGGGCATCTGCAGCTTGCAGCTTGAGTTACAGGTGGATGGGAGTCACCTGGTGTGGGTGCTGGGAACTGAACTCAGGTCCTTTGAAAGAGCAGCAAGAGCTCTTAACTGCTGAACTATCTCTCCAATCCCTGGTTTGGGTTTTAAAAGACCAGGTCTTACTATGTTGCTAAGATTGGGGGAGAGCTCTTGAGAAGTTTGGACTATAGGTACAAGCTTCCACACTTGGCTTCCAGTTTGTTCTTTGTTAGGAATGTCTTCCTTGAATGGTTTGAGGTAGTGACAACCACATTAGACTCATAAGAAGAAAATACTCCCATGACCCTTAGTTGCACAGCCAGTCAATTACTGAACATGGTTGGGCTCAGTTCCTTCTCAACTATTGAAATCTGCCTTAATGGGGGCTGGAGAAAAGGCTCATTTGGTAAAGTGCTTGCCTGAGGACCCAAGTTCAATCTCCAGAACCCATGTTTAAAAACTAGGCATAGTGACACACTTGTAATCCTAGGTTGGGAAGATAGATACAGGAGGATCCTTCTAGCTCACTGGCCAGCCTCCATGTCCCAGTGAGAGACTCTATCTCAAAAAAAGGTGGATGGCTCCTAAGGAATTATGGCTAGGTTTAACATCTGGTTTCCAAATGCACAAATGCATGCATACGCACACCTGTCTTTATTATAGACAAGTTCACAAAAGCAAATACCTGGGAAGGGCAGGGACAATGGTAGGAAGGGGATTCAGACAACGAAGGTGAAACAGTCAGGAGGGGGAAAGACACTGTAGTTTCAGAGAGAATGTCAGGGGGCTGAAATGCTCCAGTAAACCCCAGGTGGAGGGTGGGGTGAGGAGAGGGAGGCAACAACTATGTTCGTCTTTTGTATCAGGAAGGACAATCATTTTAAGAGAATGAGCAACAAAATACTTAAATGAATGAAGAGGCTTACCTGTGGAATAGTATAAAAGAGTATATGCGGGGCACAGTGAAAGAGGATGGAGAGATATGTGTTACTTTGACTAGAGGTCCTAAATTTAAAATTGAAGCCATCATCAAATTACTTTCCAAGTCCTTGAATGCCATGACTTAGCATGCCGCAAAATAAATGTATTTTGCTATTTGACTTTTTAAAGCATTTCTGCTGGTATCTTCTCAGTCAATTTTACAGCCATCACCAAATGTAGCTAGAGCGTGCACTCTTTTCCCAATTATATACATGAAGAAAAAACATTTCCAGTGGTTTCCCAGGGGACCCGGTGCCAGTGGGGTCTGGGGGAGAACAGTGAGCACCCATCAGCCACCTTCAAGGACCCGTGACCCCACTCACATTGTAGTGGCCTTTCTCGGTCTTGGATCAATGAAACCTGCTCCTGTTTCAGATCCTTCCTAGCAAGTAGCACAGCCCCTTCTCCGGCCAGAGCCAGAACATTCTATTTTTACTCTATGTCACTGAATGGCTTGTGTCCAAGCTGAGCTGTGATCTAGGTGCCAGACTCCCTGGCGGCATTCCTTCCTTGGAGCACAGCTTTGCCCCGTGCACAGCCGTCTGCATACACCTTGTTTCTCATATCACAGGGACAGCCTGCAGACCATCCTGGACATGCCTAGAGTGCACACAGCTCCTGCATGGACCCTGTAAAACAAACACTGAACACAGAGAGAGAGGGAAAACACCTCTCCCTCATAAACCCTAAATGTAATGTGCAGGCGTTTGTGAACCCCAAGGGCCATCTGAGCCACTGGTCTTGGGAGTTGACCTTCACCTTGTTTAAATTTTCTTTTTGCTTTATTTTTATTTTTATGTGTATGTGTGTATTGCATGCATGCATGTGAGTGCACCGGGGTTGTACAATGCCCGAAGAGGACATAAGAGGGCATCGGATGCCCTGAAACTGGAGTTATGGACAGTTGTTAGCCACCATGTGGGTACTGGGATTGGAACCTGGGTCTTCTGCAAGAACAACCAATGCTCTTAACTGCTGAGCCGTCTCTCCAGCCCAGTTTCATGAATTTTTTAAGAGATTTTATTTATTTTTATTTTAGATGTATGAATGTTTTGCCAGCTTGTATGTAAGTGTACCTTATACAGGCAGGCCAGAAAAGGGCAACAGGTGTTAAGGATGGATGTGATCTACCATGTGGGTGTTGGGAATGGAACCTGGGTCCTCAGAAGAACAGTAAGTGTTCTTATCTGCTGAGCCATTTCTCTAGTCCCAGATTCAAATTCTTGGTCTAGACTCTAGAGGCTATTTGTATCAGTTCAGGTTGCTGTAACAAACTACCACGTGGTGGTGACTTAAACACTTATTGCTCACAGACCCAGAGTCAGGGAAGATGAAGATCAAGGTGGCACAGATGTTGTGTCTGGTAAGGGAGGGCTTCTAGATTTTCAGAGTGCTGACTTCCTGGCATGGCAGGGAGAGATGTCTTTCTTATGAAGAAATCAATCCCAAGGAGCACATTGTGAGATCCTGAGGTCCTAGGACCCTGTGACCTCATTGCCTGCCAGAGGCCCTGCCCTCTAGAGCGGTCCATAGGGATTTGGTTGCAGTATATGAAGGAGGGTGGGTACCACTCAGTCCACAGCAGGTGAGGCGGCCAGGGAGGCCGACATGACTGGGGCAACTGGTGCTGCTCTGCACTAGTCGCTTTCCCAGAGTAGCTGACTTGGGACATAACTAGAAGAATGCTGTGCCCAGAGGACGGGGTGGGGGGGGGGCACTACAGTACAGGATGGGACAGGTATGTCTGTGTCTGTCTTGTGGAGTCCTCTTGGAGACATTTGGGGTGAGTCTCCGTCCTACTGT